TTTTAGACTTCCAGATGGTCCCGGGAGCATCCGGATCCATGAAATGGATCTGCCTTTGCGTACATGATTAACACATTAAACACCAAAATCAATCACTTATAAACCGTAGATTAACAACCTTGTATTATTTAAGATTAAGATTCCTTTTGCGTCGACATTTCTTTAGTTGTTCATGTCGGAGGAAATGATAGTGAGAGAGATCTGAAATGTATATGAATGGTACAAAAAATATAACTACAAGTTTGTTTTTTTGTTATTTTTTTTTAATTTTATTTTAAGAATTACGATATTCATTAAAGATGAGACCACGTACAAAGTAAGAAGACAATGTGTATAAAAGGGCCTCGATAAAAAACAAGCATACTTCTTCTCCCTCATTTCCTCTACGATTTTTCATCCCTTTTTATTCTCATATATATATATATATATATATTTATATATTTAAGGGGACGGCTCTGTGGTACCACTTTTTTTTACTTAATTATTTACACAAGTTTATATGGGGTCCGCTCCGTAATATATTTCAACGATCCGAATTGTCTACCTTTTGAATTATACCAACAAAATAGCACCATTACAAATCAACTTAGAAGAAAAAAAATTGACCTCCATTCAATTATGTGCCATTGTAGCCGATTTTCTCTCTTTTTCATCATTGTGAGGAAGTTTTCAGCTCGACAATCACAATGTTACATAGTGTTATTAATTTAGATGTTACAACTTATAATATGAGTGTATAACAAAATCTTTTTATTCAAAATGAATCAATAATAGTTAAGGTATCACCGATATATCACATTGATAATAATGAAACTCATATGAGATAACGTGAATGAACTGATAATATTACATCACAGTTACTATGAAAAACGTTAAATTATTAAGATGAGATTCACTTCTATAGTGACATTGACACTATTAATGACGTATGACGCTAGAGAGACTATCTTTGAAAATTATATTTGTAGACGACATATAATGTGGCGGTTGATGGTTAAATTATTGCTTTAAATGATTAAGAATAGAATTCAACCATCACATTATTTGATTAAAAAAAAATAGGATAGTTCTATTAACGCACTCATTTTACCTTTCATACACCCTTATTAATTTTTTGTCATTAATCTTCTTTAATTCATTTGATTTGGCGGCCGAAAATTAAGAGATGTGTGTAAGAAGTAAAAATGGGTGTACAGATAGCATTATTCTAAAAATATAGTCTAAAAAGTGGAATCATTTCCTTATCTGAAATTGATTATGGAAAAAAAAATCAAACCATTAAAAGCAATAATGTTTTTGTTCTAATATTCTTGGCGGATAATATTGCTCAATAATAATAACAATATTCCAAACCCAAGTCACAATTCATAAAAGATTTTTATTGACATCAATCATCATACTCCACCAGAAGCAACACCAAGAGAATCCCAGGACAAAAAGTTGGATAAAAACTATAATTTTGCAAAATTCAAACCCATACATGTGTGGCGGATCTAGAATTCTAATATCGGGTTGTCTCAATCAAGATACACTAGGAACTAGTCGGACGGCCGGCTGGACATAGTGCCTATACGCCTAGATGGTGCCTAGGCGCCTACGCGAAATAGGCTGATTTGAGTAAAATTATGATATATCATATAAATAAGTGCCTATTTACACTTAAAAAATTATACTTGTATTGATAATTTGAGTTTAGAGTAAACTGTCGGTTTACCCCCTGAACTTTCACCTCACTTTCGATTTCCCCCCTGAACTTTTCTATTGGAAAATTAAGGACTCAAACTAATTTTTTCAGCCAATTTGCCCCCTACCGTTAGTTTTTCATATATTCCATCCATATTTCCATTAAGTTAGACCATGTGCACAACATATAAGGGTAGTTAAGTTATTTCACTCTTAAAAATGATTAAAAAACTGAAAATAAAAAAATAAGCAAAACTTTCCCTCTATTTTTTCCCTCTAATTCATATCATCGATTTTATTTTTCCCTCTCATTCCTATGCATGAGAAATGACATACGGTGTTATTGTCTACCATTTTTATTTTCTCTAACAAATTAATAATTTGACAAATGCTAATGGTGCTATTGTCTTCAAAGCAGTGCATTAATATAATAAACCCTAGTTTTTTTTTATGGACATGTTTCTTATATTAATGTACTGCTTTGGAGACAATAACACCATGATCATTTGTCAAATTATTAATTTGTTAGAGAAAATAAAAATGGTAGTACATGCTTCAAGAAAAAGATTAACTTAGCTAAAGACAATAACACCATATGTTATTTCTCATGCATAGGAATGAGAGGAAAAAATAAAATTGAGGATAGGAATTAGCGGGAAAAAATAGAGGGAAAGTTTTTATAATTATTTATTTTCAGTTTTTAATTATTTTTAAGAGTGAAATGACTTAACTATCCTCACATGTTATGTACATGGTCTCACTTAACGGAAATATGGATGGAATATATGAAAAACTAATGGTAGGGGGCAAATTGGCTAAAAACATTAGTTTGAGTCCTTAATTTTCCAATATAAAAGTTCAGGGGGGAAATCGAAAGTGAGGTGAAAGTTCAGGGGGTAAACCGACAGTTTTCCCTTTGAGTTTATTATTACAAAAATATCAGAATTTTTGCTTTAGTATTTTAGTAAATTGATGGTATGAGATGAAAGGTCAAGTGATTGCAAATTCGTATGAACTTTTAGTGAATTTAAAAAAAATAACGGTGTCAAACATATGGTATATAAGAATTGTTTGAGTATTACACCATCTCTTTATTAATTAATATGCTAGGTGACACAACCTGATTGGCCAACAATTAAGCAAAAAGACAAAGAAACATGGGAAGTTAATCATGTGGGAAATGGAGAGAGAAAGCCTTTCTTATTCGTTGGAACCAAGGTCCAAGGACAGCAGAGTCATGGTGGTCTTTTATGTGTTCATTTTCCTCTGAAATTAGATTTTTTTTTTTTTTCAAAGCTTCTGTTACACAACATCTCCATTCAATTATATGCCCTCACCGCCGATTTTCTATCTCTTTGGCCATCATTGTGAAGAAGTTTTCAGCTTGGCAATCACATCGTTACATAGTATTATTAATTTAGATTCTATAACATTAAATATGAGTGAATAACAAAATCTTTTTCTTCAAAATTAATCAATAATACTTAAGGTGTCAGCCATATATCATATTGGTAATAATGAAAATCATATGATATAGTGAGAATAAATTGATAATATCACACCACGGTTACAATGAAAATGGTCAAATTATTAAGATGAGATTCACTTCTATCGTGACACTTTATCTGAAGAACAATGCTAGAGAGACTATATTTTTAAATCATATTTATAGTCCACGTAATGTACCGGTTGAAGGTCTGATTCTTTCTTTGAATCATTAAAAGTGAAATTCAACCATCACATCATTTGGATTAAAAAAGAATAATGCTAGGGGAACCAAATGTTTTGAACCAAATTGCAAACCAAATAATGTGTCACTAATAAAAAATAAGTACGTTAATCAAAACTTAATTAATAATCATATCATTTGGTTTACAAATTTAGTTTAAAAAAATTGATCTCCCTAGTATTACCCTTAAAAAGATCCTAAACATTTTCCTTATCTGAAATTGATTGTGGAAAGCAGTCAAACCATTAAAAACAAGGGAGTTTTAACGAAAATGTCGCGGTACTGTTCACTTTAACGAAAAACCATATTTTTACACTAAAAAGTCAAACCTGGTACTATTCATTTTACGTTTTATTTTGTTCATATCATTAAAACTCAAAATTTTCAAGCAATTTTCATTAATTTTATTTAAAAAAAATAATGTTTTTTGTTTTAGTATTCTTGGCGTGCTTGGATGTTATTACTAGAATAATGATACAATAATATTCCAAACGCAAGTCACACTTCACAAAACCTTTTTATTGTACCACCAATCATCATATTACACTAGAAGCAACACCGAAAGAATCCCAGGACAAAAAAGTTGGAACAAAACTACAATTTTGCACAACCCAAACCCACACATGATTAGCACATTAAACACCAACGTAATTAATCAACAAAAAAAAAATATTGGTGGAATCAAACTCTGCAGTTCATTTGGAGTTGCAAGCTGTTGGCAATAATCATTCTTTAGATTCCCTTGTTTTGGCCTGCCTAGAATTGCTTTCAAGATCAACTTTGTGGCAGATAGTTTAGCCAGCTACAATCTCAATTTAGATTTAGGTAATTTTTATTTTGATACTCCTCCTTCTTATTCAGTTAGTTTCATTCGTAATGATCGATTTGGGATGTCCCGGTCTAGATTTATTATTGAGTAGGTTTGTTTGGGCTCTTGCTTTTTAGCCCCATTTTTCAAACATTAAAAAAAATAAAATTCAACCACTTACAAATCCTTAATTAACAAGGACTTGGATTGTCTGTCCTCCCCATTCCATTCCCTTCCCATGCCGTTAACATTTTATATTAATTTTTTTATAGAAATAATAAGACAACAAGTAATGAGAATATAAAATATTGACATGACTTAACCATGACCACAGAAATAGGAGGACATGAGGAGGGTATGGGATGGGGAATGCAGACAATCCAAGTCCAATTAACAACCTTGTATTAGTTAAGATTAAGATTTTTTTTGCGTGGACATTTCATTGGTTGCTCGTGACTTAGAATTAACGATAATCAACTTACCCAACCTCCATTAATCTCAAAAATATATTTTATAATAATGTATTAAGACTAAGAGGGTTTGAATTTGTAACGAATAAACTTCGATAACAAACTGATAAAAATTGTACATGAAGTCGTGTGACACACGTGCACGTGAGAAAGTATCGGTGAAAAAATAAAATGTCCCACAAGGTTAAAAAAAACGAAGAAAATATCCCACAGGGACAAAATAGTCGGTTCACGCGAATCTGAATGCTCATGAACTTTCCTCTTTAAAGGCAGGCCTTCCCCATTGGGAAATACACCCACCCGCCTCCAACCAATCCCTTCCTCTCCTGTCTTCTGTCATCCAATCAGAAGTCTCTCTCTTCTCTCTCTGCAACACAGAGAACGCCACCTCGGGCGAACCAAAAAACCATCAAACCACCATTTTCATCCTCTCGACGTCACGAGCTCGAACCCGAGCTCCGTTTAGTAAGGAATTGTGCACAGAAGCCCCAATTCGGAGCTCCGAATCGGACTAAGCTTTCCGACGGCCTACGGTGGTTTCCCGACGAAGGTAAGAGTTTTAAAATTAGAACACTGTTTTGAGTGAATTGCATACCCTCGAACTGCTTTGTGTTTATAATGTATGTCAGATTACATCAGGGTTTGAAAACCCTATTTACACGTTAACTATTTGAAATTCAAAAAAAAAAAAAAAGCTAACAAGCATAGCTAAATTTAAACAGGACCTAACAGACTTCTTCTTGGATAAGGACTGTGAACTGATATAACAAACTGAAGAGTTTGCATCCGAACTGGAAATCTGACTCGGTCTAACAAAGAGTGTGGTAACCAACTCAAATCGCTTCGTCTTCTTGTGTAGTTTAAATTTTGAGGTTTGTTGCTGAGTTTGGAGAGCCTTGTACGCAGATCGAAGGAGGAAGACACCCCTGCAATTCCCGTGAGTTTTGTCTGATTCAAATCCAAAGGCCAGAATGCAAAATTCTGACATGCAACCTGAAGAAGCAGTGAGTCGCATATGGAGGAGTAAGTCTTTGGATCAAGAATACTGGAAGAAAATATTCATGGTGGTGTGTTTGTGCGCTGTTCCAGTTGATGCATTGTTCCTCTACATTCCCATTCTGAAGGATGATGTCAAATGCCTTATGTTAGACTCAAAGCTGAAGATAGCCGTTCTTCTTTTAAGATCAATCATAGATTTTTTCCATTTAATGGACATTATTATTCGAATTTATAGATCTGAGAAATATTCTGGTTTAATCAATGAACCTAACCACAGACAAAACCAGAGGAATTTCAGTTTCTTATTGAAATTTTGCGTGCGAAGAATAGCCAAGGCAATATGGTTGTCAAAAGATATCTTAATTGACATTGTAGCTCTTCTTCCCCTTCCACAGGTAAGAAATTAAATCCTTTTGGTGGAGTAATTGTTTTCCCTATTTGCTTTGCGTGTGGTCGAAGCGGATATTTTAGTGTTAAATGCACAAAAGTGACATACTGTGAGTCTCATATACACTTGGTTAGCTCGAGTGTGATCCATTGATTTGCTCATGATATTATCAGATTTTGATTCTTGATACTACTAATGTATATCCACTATCCAGGTGGCAATTCTCATTTTATTCTCAAAAATGAATGACTTGAGATATTTGACTACAACAAGGATGGTTTTTGTGAACATTTTTGCTCTGTTGCAATATATACCACGAGTTATTCGCATCTGCCTCTCATCTATGGAACTTAAAAGGATTATTGAAGAAGTTAAAGAGCCTTCAGTGTGGACAAAAGGTGTACTCAATATTTGTATGTACATTATTGCTAGTCATGTAAGTTTCGATATATATCCTTATTTATTTTTGTATGTCAAATCAATTCTTATTATTCTTGAACCACGAGCTGGTGGTCCAGTGGTAAATGATGAATTACGAGACTTCTTTAAAAAATTAAAAACTGGAGGTCTCGGGTTCGAAACCCGATGTTGGGGTGAAAGCCAAACTTGTGGCCATGGAGAGGCTGAAATGTCTTTGTAAGTCTTCTTGGCCCCCGGAAGGGATGAATAACCTTGACTGGCCACCAGTTGTTCCCCTTTTAAAAAGAAAAAAAAATCTTATTATTCTTGTCTCACTTTTGTTTATTAGAAAGAACATGAAATGAATATTCTGAAATAATAATAAAGTAATGCTACACTTATTATCTAGTTGTATCATCATTTATACCATTTCGCTAATAGAAATAGGACCTACCAACGCATGTGGTCTCATCTCAATTAGAGATGATACGGCTAGATGGTAAGAGTAGTATTTTTTATAATAATAACGAAAATATTTATAAATTTCTCCTTTTTTGTTTGTTTAATTTTTAGGTAGTCGGAGCTCTCTGGTATTTTTATGCTATTCAACGAATGATGATGTGCTGGCATTCTGCATGTCACAAAAATGATGGATGTGATAACAGAATTTTTGGTTGTCATGATCACCACGCATTTAGAAATACCACAATTCTAAATGATTTATGCCATGTCAGTGTCAGTGACAATTCATCAGACAAAATGTTCTTCGATTTTGGAATATTTGCTACTGTGCTTAAATACGGTGTTGAAGGATCAACCAATTATTTCAAAAAGTTCTTGAACTGTTTCTGGTGGGGTTTACGAAATTTAAGGTTTGTGCATTTTTTGTCTTTCTTTGCTGGGAGATTTATTTAGGTTTAATGCTATTTTTAAGGTATTTGAATTTGTTCACGATTTATATTAATTCTTTCTGTTGGAAGTATAAATCATATCAACAAACTAAAGTATTGCTTCTACGAAATAGAGTCGAGTAGAAGGACTTGTAGAAATTAAAAATCAAGTTGAGAGACAAAAATGTTATCTTGGATAAATTTTAGGAAGAAGGAAACATAGAACAAAATAAGCCCTTAGAAAAATGGTTGTAAATTTGTAAGTTTAAAACTTGAAATTGGTTATCTTATATAATGATCCATTAATTTCATTTTTGCAGTTCCTTTGGTTCAAATCTTGAGCCCAGTTCAGATGGATGGGAAAACCTCTATACGGTTTTTATCTCTATAACTGGCTTGCTCCTGTTTTTATATCTCATCGGAAATTTGCAGGTTTGTTTAAAAAAAAAAAAAAAAATCTTACGCTTATCATTAAGTCCTAATTAATCACTTCAACTACATTAAATTCACTCTAACTAACCTAATATATGTTAAGCATTCTTGAACTACTTATATGTTAAGTATGATTTTTTTTTTTCACTAAATCTGAATGCCATGTTTAAATTTTTGTTTGTAATAGGATCACTTGTCACGTAATATATTATTCTACATGTTAACATGTAAGTATATGACATAGATGATATTCCCCCTTTTAGGATAAATAAAAAAACAAAATTGTGCGTAATTTTGAATGAGATAGTAACATCATGTGACGGTGTTCTACTTCTAGCTACAGAGAAATTTCTTGTCATGTATGTTAGATTTTAATTGCAGTCCTTTGGTTAGGTGTATTATTATGAAATTCATTGTATAGGTAAAATAAGATACCTACATATGTTCATGATATTGTATTCATCAAAAGATTAGAACCACAAGTAGCTAGCAAATAGAGTGGGCGTTGGGTGAGTTGGTCAGGTTGAACTTTTACCCAACTCAATAGGCTTGGGTTGAAATTTTTTCAAACCCATTGCCACCCATGAAAATGGACAAAACAACCCACCCAAAATGGGCCAAATCATTCTTAAGTGGGTTGGGTTGGGTGGGTTTCACGAGTTGGGTTTAATTAATTTCTTTCTTGTTCTTAATGTGATGATAATTGACAAAAAAATCAATATTAATGTCAAATTATGTCTAATTCATATGAATTTGACGTTATAAATGACAATCGTATCACCAATCACGTCACAATGCCAATATAATTCAATCCCATAATTCCCTCTCCTTGTAACAATTTATATTTGTTGTAATTGTCATTTATTGTCATTATTTGCTCGTCTTTTTTGGCTTTACAATTTAACACTCGTAATTTGTATATATATATATATATATATATATATATATATATATATTACAAATCAATCGAGCCAATTTTCTCCCACACCATTCGTCTTCTAATGGACGTCTCTGATTCTCCTACTGTAGTTTCCTCCTAAGCCATTTATTATCATTCAACTGAATCGTGTTCAATCGGGTTAATAGTATTTCAGCCTAATCCAACTAGCTTATAAAGCAGGTGGTTGAGTTTTTACCCAAAAATAAATTTTTAATATTTCGAACCTAACCCATATTAGTTGAGTTGGTCAACCTACTAAAATGTTCACCCCTACTAGCTAGTATTTCTTTCTTTCCTTTTTTTTTTTGGTTAAAATAGTAGTATTTCTGTTTTTGTAATATAGAAAAAAGATTTAACTCAAAATCCAATATAATGATGACATTAAGCTTCATTTGGAAAAAAAAAACAAAAAATCTTATCTAATATGATAATCCAATTCTTATCAATCTTTTAATTGTTGAATAGATGTATATACAACTTGAGTCTACAAGAAGAGATGATGACATGAAAATGAGACGGAAGATGAAAGGAAAAGATAAAGAAATAGAATCGTGGTTATCCAAAAAGGGAATTCCCACCAAGTCGATTAAGGGTATCAAGTTGCAGATTTTGCCAAGGGTAAAACAAGCAGTTCAAGCGGATACGTATACTAGTTTGGATGATATTCACTCTCTTCTTTCTTCGGATGTCCAAGGGCGCATAGAAAAGCCTTTTGCCAAGTTGAAGCAAGTAATTACTCACCTTGATAATCATATTAAACAAGGATTGTATCTCTTTATCTTTTTAATAAGAATTTAATTAATTCTTCCTATGGCTTTTCTTGCTTTCTCCCTGATAGTTTAACAACATGAATTCCAGGTGCCAATGCTTCGAGGGATAGAAGAAGATGTGTTAAAAATAATCTGTGAGAAACTCAAGCCCGTGAGTTATGCTAAGAACAGCGACATTATTCGAAAGGGTGAACCACTTGACAAGATGGTCTACATTGTAGACGGAGATGTATCCATTGAAGATGTTTCGAGACAAGGTGAAGGAGAATTATGTGGACAAGAACTTCTACGTTGGCCATTCTACTATGACTTCCCTTTCACTAAAACACCGTTGGCAACTAAATCTGTCAAGGCAATTAGTGTTGTTGAAGCCCTTGCTCTTGCCGCAAACGACTTGGAAAGTGTAAGCTCTTAATCAAATGCGCATTTCCCTTATTAGAATTGGGCATCCATAGGAAAATTAATTGTGATAAGAGAGAGATCCAAGAATTACCTTTATTTAAACTATCAAACGAGACTTTTATTCTTTCAACACAACCCTTCACGTGCGGGGCAATTTAACCCTAATGTGTGGAGTAAACATGATATATTGAGTGATGCTTAACACGTAGATAGTCTCATCTAATACCATATTAAAATTGAGCATCCATCTTAGTTAGAACCATTGGGAATAGGAGGGAGAGGGACCAAAATTATTTAAATTATTAGGCAAAATTTTATTTACTCTGACAACTTCAATAAGCCTATAAGCTATAAGAAACTCTAACAACCTCAATTTGATTGTAATTTGGCTAGATTTTCTTTTACTTGAAATAATGAACTCTAACAACCTTTTTGTTGTTGTGGATTAATAGATATACCGTCAACCAGACATTACAAGAAAAGAGGCGTCTAGACACAGAAAAATGATGAAAGAGGAGATGGAGACAAATATAGATGGGTTGATACGTAAAAAGGGATTTCCTGAAGAGTTTAATCAGGATGTAAAGTCACGGATCATGGAAAAGATAGAAGAACAAGTTCAGAACGATGATCTTTATTGGGATAAGCTTGATTGGGATCATCTTGTTTCTCATGTTTCCATGGATTTTCAAAATGAGATCAAAAGGCGCATGGCATTGACTAAGTTGAATACGGTAAAGTTTCTTCAAATCCATGAATCCATGGCTTTAATTTTGAACATAGAATTAGAGTCATTTATTTATTATAGCTCTCACTCCCAGGCATTTAATTACAACATAACTAGCCTATACTATACAAACCCCAACCTAGGCTACATAACAATCTAGCCCTTGCCCATGATAAGGTGGAGCGTAAGTACATGAGACAGAAAAAAAAACAAACAAAAGAAAAAGAAGCTGTCAAATAGAAGCATGTGAACATTTGTAGTTATAATCATCCAAATAACCCTAAAATGGTATTAACTAAAACCAGGAAAAAAAATAAACATATGCTATAAAAAAGTGAGCAGTAGAAAAAGGAAAAGTGTGATTCTAATGGGACAGAAAAATTAAAAAAAGTCACGATTATGACATTAGTTAGGTTTTTATTGTCACGATTCATTTAAGAAAAATACTAAGGCGATCATTAAAAAAAAAAAAACAATCATCAACCGTTGTATTAGTTACGTTTTTATTCTCCCTCTTCTTTCTTTGGATGTTCAAAGGCGCACAAAAGAGCCTTTTGCCAAGTTGAAGCAAGTAATTACTCACCTTGATAAGCATATAATACGTGAATTGTATCTCTTTACCTTTTGAATAAGAATTTAATTAATTCTTCCTATGGCTTTTCTTGCTTTCTTTAACAGCATGAATTGCCGGTGCCAATGCTTCGAGGGATAGATGAGGATGTGCTCAAAATAATCTGTCAGAAACTTAAGCCCGTGACTTATACTGAGAACAGCGATATTATTCAAAAGGATCAACCACTTGACAAGATTCTCTTCATTGTAGACGGAGAATTATGTGATTCTGATGGTTCGAACCGACGTGCAGGAGAAGTATGTGGAGAAGAACTTCTACGTTGGCCATTCTACTCTTACTTCCCTCACAGAAAACCGTTGGCAACTAAATCTGTCAACGCAATTGGTGTTGTTGAAGCCCTTGCTCTCAACGCACAAGACTTGCAAAGTGTAAGCTCTTAATCAAATGCACATTTCCTTTATTACAATTGAGCATCCATAGTAACATTAATTGGATAAGAGAGAGATCCAAGAATTACCCTTATTTAAACTATCAGATAAGACTTTCATGTTTTCAATGCAACCCTTCACGTGCGGGGCCATTTAAGCCCAATGTGTGAAGTAAACAAGACGTATTGAGTGATGCACAACATGTAGATAGTCTCATCTAATACCATATTAAGATTGAGCATCCATCTTAGTTAAAACCATTGGCAATAGGAGGGAGAGGGTCCTAAATTATTTAAATTATTAGGCAAAATTTTATTTCTCTGATATGAGATTCATATAGTATTGACAACTTCAATAAGCATGTAAGAAACTCTAACAACTTAGTTTGATTGTAATTTGGTTACATATTCTTTTACTTTAAGTAACGAACTCTAACAACCTTTTTGTTGTTGTGGATTAATAGATATATGATCAATTAGACATTTTAGAAAAAGAGGCGCCTAGACACGGAAAATTGATTAAAGAGGAGATGGAGCGAAATATAGATGAGTTGATACGTAGAAATGGGATTCCTGAAAAGTTGAATCAGGATGTAAAGTCACGGATCATGGAAAAGATAGAAGAACAATTTCAAAAAGATGATCTTTATTGGGATATTCTTGATTGGTATCATCTCGTTTCTCATCTTCCCCCAGATTTTCGAAACGAGATCAAACGTTGCATGCCATTGATTAAGTTGAAGGAGGTAAAGTTTCTGCAAATCCATAAATCCATGGCTTTAATTTTGAACATAGAATTTAAGGCATTTATTTATTTATAGCTCTCATCCCACGCATGTACATGTGATATTAGAGATGTCAGGCATTTATTTAGAGCATAAGTAACGTACCTAGGCTACATAACAATCTAGCCCTAAAATGACTCACAACAAGTGCTCTTTATTTAGCCTCGGCCCTTGCCCAATGCCCCTGATAAGGTGGAGCGTAAGTACATGAGACAGAAAAAAACAAGCAAAAGAAAAAATAAGCTGTCAAATAGAAGAATTCGCCGGCCAATAAAGACTATCCACTTGGAACTTTCTAATCCCTATCCTTTCACACCAATAAATTTTAAAAGGAAAACCATCCACTTGGATACTTTTTTATAGTACTTGAAGCATGTGAACATTTGTAGTTATAATCATCCAAATAACCCAAAAATGGTAATTAACTAAAACGTGATACTTATGGGGTTGCAACAATGTCACTAATAGCAAAAAAATAAAAAGAAGTCATTAGTTACGTTTTTATTGTTACGATTCATTTAAGAAACATACTATAAGGTCGTACCCAGTGCACAAGGCTCCCGCTTTACGCAGGGTCTGGGAGAGGTGAATGTCGGCTAGCCTTACCTCGCAATGCATCATTGCAACCGAGCAACAATCACACCTTTCACATTTACATGGCCACCTTTTCTTGTACTGAGCAAACACAAGAACGGTCCGAAAGCTACAAATTTTAATTAGATTTTAATAAAAACGTTGGAGATTAATATACTGAGCAAACACAAGAACGGTCCGAAAGCTACAAATTTTAATTAGATTTTAATAAAAACGTTGGAGATTAATGATGGATGGAAAGTTTTTAAAATTGATGAGTTAGTTATAACTATATACTTATGTATTAAGATTTTTTTTAAATTTGTCAATTAAGTTACTTATATGTTATAAAATGTAGATGCCAGCATTCCAAAACATGGATGATAACGTTCTGAAAGAAATTTGTAGCCACCTTCAGCCCAAGAAGTATGATCATGCCGATAACATTATTGAAAAGGGTTACCCAATTCCAATGTTGTTGATTGTGGAAGGAAGAATAGGCCAAGAAGGTTGGGTAAAAGACGCAGGAGAAATCTATGGAGAAGAACTTCTTGGTTGGTCATTCTCGACCTCTTTCCCTGGCGAAGTACCTACAGCAGCTGAGTCGCCTTTTGTAATTACGGATGTTGTTGAAGCCCTTGTTCTGACGGCCAGTGATATGAAGAGTGTAGCCATTGAATTCCGGAAGCATTTCATAAAAAAATACGACAAATTCGTACAGACATGGGCATTCAAACAGAAATGGCTTTTCGACGGTTTTACTTACGATTATTCTGAAGGGGATATTAAGGAGGCCACAATAAGCTACACTTGTTTGAACAATCCAAATGAAGGAGGCTATGGAACAGTTTACCACACAGAATTAGGTGGAAGAGTTGTCGCCATAAAAACGTGCAACAGTGCTACTGGTGACCCGTTCGTCCTGAGTCAACGTCTTGTTCATGAGGCATTTGTTGTTTTACAAATCAGACACAAAAATGTGGAGAGGCTGTTAGGTTGTTGTTTAGAGACAAGATGGCCTATAATGGTTTATGACCGCACCAATGCTTTGACTCTTGTTGAGCACTTTCACAGAAACAAATCGGAACTCTCGTTGGAATCACTAATGAAGATATTAGCAGAAACCGCAGGAGCTCTAGCACACTTGCACTCCATCTCAGTCATACACCGAGATGTGAAGACAGCGAATATATTAATTGATCGAACAACTCACACGATAAAACTTACCGGTTTTGGAGCTTCACGATTGCTTCATGAAGATGAAGGTGAAATGGAAGATGAAGTATCAACTTTGCCAGGGACATCGAGATGCTTAGACCCTGAGCATCTTAAATCACACGACGTCTATAGCTTTGGAGTTGTTCTAGTGGAGCTACTAACATGTCAAGAGGCAGTTTCTTATGACGGACCCAATAGATCCCTAGCAAACGACTTTGTTCGTTCAGTGCAAGAGGATCGCTTGGGCCATATTCTCGATGGTGAAATACACAGAGACAAGTTAAGTTTTTTTGTTTTTTATGGAGAAAGAGACAAGTTAAGTTTTGAGATAGCCAAAAAGGTAAGCGGGCTTGCCGTGACATGTTTGAGGTCAAGGGGAGAGGAAAGGCCTTCCATGGAAAAAGTAGCTGAGGAGCTTTATGGAGTAGTTCCCTACTGTAGAGCATTGTACAGTGGACGATAATATATCTTCGGCTTCAAGAACTTCCGAGTGAAGTATTGATGTGAACCCGTGCGGCTGGTTTCAGTTTGAGTGTGTGCTTGTGAAATTATTGACAAGTAAGATGCATTTGGTAGTTTGAGTAAACCATGGAACTTGGAATTAGTATCAAACTAGAAATAGTGCCCGCGCGTTGCTGCGGGATTAGAAACCATATGGAAAAATATGTTTCAAAGCTATAATAAAAGAATGTAATATATGAAAGTTTCGTATGAATAATTCAAACTTGCACACATTTATGCGTTTTTTACCAATTGTTAGAAACTGCTAGGATAACAATTGCTATCACATAATTGGTATGCTGTTAACATAATGAAATCTGTGAAGCAAAAAAATGATATGGAATTTTAACTTAAGATGCTAAAGAAGCTGTATAAGAGTAGTTGGGTCGTCTGTGCTTTATCCATCAAAGGCATTGCAACGGTAGATTGTGGAAACTATAAAAATTGATCCAATCGAGAGACAAAATTCAATAGTTATGGGTAAGGTGAATTTGGAACCATAAATGTAAGATACAGTTGAAAAATTTGCAAATTCATTACAATTTCAAAAAATATACGTACTAAAACTGATGATCTTAAATTCATAAAGTATCCAAAATTTGATAAGTTTGTTAAAATAAGTATTCATCACAACTAGGGATGGACAACTGTTATAGCGGACGGGTAACCACGGTTATTTATCCATGACCGTTTATGTTCATACCCGCATAACCATTTACCCGTTGGGTAATTATATAAATGGTCATACTCAGAACCATAACCGTTTATAAACGGTTATCCATACTCATAACCGTGTATCCATTTAACCATACTCATTTACCCATTTAACCATAATCATTTAAATCCTCATATAATTCCAATAATTGAAATAATAATTTACGAACGATATTTTTCTGCTTCACCCATAACCGAGAAATCAGGATAAAAAAAGTAAAAGATTAAGAAACAAACAAAGATCACGGCCCGAAACGACAATGCATGGAAGAACATAAAACCCAAAACGCCAAAACGATGACAATTCAATGTGAGTGTATATATATATATATATATATAAATGTACAAAGAAGAAGAAGAAAAAGAAACGTACCTCTCTGACCTCGGCAATAGGGTCAAAAGAGAGAACCAACTTGGCAACAACGGAAGAAGACTGCTGCTGATCAGAAGCGGAGGCAAGCAACACATCACCGATGTGCCCTAAGGGAAGCAACAAATAATAGTAACTTACAAGTTGTAAGTTCTCCAAGGGTTTTTAATTTTTTTTTTTTAATTTTACATATATTAAATTAAATGGGTAAATGGATACCCGTTATAACCGTGAATATTACCCATAACCGATGGATACCCGTTATAACTGCGGATAATACCCATAACCGCCCATTTAAATTTCATGGATTAACGGTTATACCCATAACCGTTTATTTGTCTAAACGGTTACCCATAACCATAACCGTCAACTTTAAATGGACGGGTAACCGCAGTTACCCATACCTATGAGTATTTTGCCCATCCTTAATCACAACAATAGCACTGAAATTGAGTTCTTTTGTTTGCCAAGATTTTTCCAGCAACTAAACAGATGAAAGTACAGATAATGAAACAATCAATTGAATGAAAGACATTGAATTGAATCATTATGACAACAAAGTTGAAAAACAATTGATGTTGTTGTAGGTCATTTTAAATGAAAAGAAGAACATTGGCTTACATAGTTGGAGGCATGTAGGTGATATGAAATCTGTCATCTATGTATGCATACTGCAAAACATTACGGAAGTAGCAAAAAACAATCCTCACAGATGACAGTAAAATAATAAGAAGACAGATTTGTATCAAACGTACAAACAGGACAAATGCATATTAAGGGGAAAATAACCAAGCAATAAAAAGATGAGGCTTTTTAAAGCTTACCAAATAGAATCACCAAGGGATTTTTCCAAAGCATTAGGTGATTTTTTGTAATCCTTCTTGTAATTCTACAAAAAAAAACACAGGAATAACCATATAAGCTCCTAATAAAAGTTAAAAAGCTGATATAAATTGAAATGAAAAAAAAAATTAGCATAAATTGAATGATTAAAATCTTTGTATATCTATAAAGTAACGATTGTGATTTTTTCCTACTTGTCTTTCCTAGTAGCTATCTATGGACTAATTCAAAGATTTGTTCTTCCTGGATGTCTAGGGAAAGGAATAGCATCTCTAATGTGGTCAATGCTGGTAGCAAATAAAATCATCCGTTCGAATCCTAAACCAAAACCATAATGTTTGATGGTCCCAAAGTGTGGCAAGTCAATGTACCACTCATACGGTTCAGTAGGTAGACCCATTTCCTGAATATGACTCCACTGGAAAGAATTTCAGTGAAAGTACCTCATCAGATGTCGTTTGGAAATAAAGAAATCATTAAATAACAGCTGAGTTCAGTGAAGCAGGATTATCATAAGATAGTGCCAACTTAATTAATTGTGGTACAAATGCGTGTTTAGACTACATAATAGCGAAGATACTTGACAGCGATTTTTATAAGCTTTCGATAGACTAACAAAGTATGTATTGTAAAAGAGTGCAATTTTTGGTAAAACAGTTGTTGCCAGCATCAAAATACATCTGTGGTGCCCTTTTTCAATCATATGGAGCACGATAGTTGTAGTAATTTGTCAAAAATGACTTGGATACTACCACTATTCCAATTAACAGACTGAATGGAGCAGGATTGTGAGAGTATGATTAACCAAATGGAGAAAACTAAGTTAGTATCTATAACACATGGCACCTCACTTTCTCACAGTGGCTTAATGTGTTCTCGACCATTTAGCAACCTGTTTAATTCTAGTTAATATTACTTCGAAAATACCAAGACCATATTAAAACTCATTTATGCAGAAATTAAGGTCTCGTTTGATAACCATTGTGTTTTTATCAACTTAAGTTAACTTCTTAAATGTAACAGAATGCAAGGTTTTCAACTCAAACATACTTAAGTCAACATCTGCAGGAGTAAGAGTAGAACTATAATGCAACAAAAGGGTTAAGACTACTCAAAAGATTGTAGTTGAACAATCTATGTTCTAATTAGCACTAATCCTTACATGTATACACTAAAGTTGAAATTAAACGAAAAACAACGGAAAACAGATGTATGATGACAGGGAGACACAAATGTAAAAAACAATCAATACCTTTAACTCTTTGTTGATAAACAACTCGGTAACTCATCATTAAAGTTGTAACCTCTCTGTTTAAAGGGTCAGAGGGATTGGGATATAGCAGAAGTTGTGGTGAGAACACTTTAAATATGCTGGTAAGATCTGGAAACACAGGGTGATGTAATTAGAATTTGATAGTATTCCTTGTTTGGTTCAATTAATAGTGCCACACAATTTAGAGTAGTAGGAGTTTATGAAAGTGAGCATTTTATCAACATTTGGGTGGTAAGTCTTATTGGCAAAGCCTATTGAGGGAGATTTATAGGGATAAGGATCTGGTAGCTTAGATGTTATCCTCCACACACTTCTCTGATAAATATCTGTCGCAATCCATAATATGGATGAAATGGGGGGATTACGCGATGAAAACAAATCACGGGCAATCCAAGTAGCTATTTTGGAAACCAAAATCATCAAAACAAATTAGAGCAATTACCAAACAACAAATTCCATTATAAAAAAAATAAAAAATAAACTAATGATTGGATAAGAACAGATACAAAAACTGTTTCCAATGAATAACAATGAGCATAAATATAATCGTTTCACATACAATAAGGTAGGCAAAAGATGACGGTGATTAATACAAAATTGTAACTGCTAATGGTTAAGATTGAGACGGAGAAGTAAAACATATTGATGCTAAATTTGGTTCTAAAGGTTGGTAACAATCACAGAACAATGCTGGATATGATTATAGCCCATGGTGAAGTTACTTTTGTAATTATTTAATGACTAACATTGGATACATGGTGTAGTTCAAGGTTTTATACGTTTTTACCACCAACGAAGTTTGGTTCCAATGTGAAGAAAACGAAAATAATATGTTGGGGTTAACACTAAACACTTTTAAGATCAAAGTGGTTAAAATAGTTTAAAACGAAAGATATCGCTTGAGAATAGATGGGTTGATCAAGGGGAACTTTAACGAAAAGCTCTCCGGTACTGTTCACTTTAACGAAAAACCATATTTTTACACTAAAAGGTCAATCCTGGTACTATTCACTTTACCCTTTATTTTGTCCTTATCGTTAAAACTTAAAGTTTTCAAGTCATTTTCATTAGTTTTCCTTTGATCAAATTTATCCAATGAAAGATTACAAACTAAGGACAATGGGTTGAACAAAAGCGAAAGAGAAGCGGATAAAAAAGGGAAAAAAAATTAGGAAGAAAAGAGAGGTCCCAACGAAAGTAACAGAAAATTAACAACGCAAAATATTTGATACATTGAATACTAAATGGTTGAACGGATTATATACCTTCAATAAACAGCGGTGGTTCTTGAAAGTGAAGAAGAACAAAATCAGACAGTAATACGAAGCATTTGATTACGAAGACAAAATCTGCAGCATGGCAAAATGAGAATTTAGACATAAAATTTATCTGTAAATCAGAAAAAAAAAGAAAGAATAATAAATGAAAAAAGAGACACATCAAGAAAAGAGGCCTTACAACAGCTTCGTTAAGCGCCAATTCAAAACGATTACAGCTGGGAAACTATATTTAACACCATGCTGATAGGATGTAGAAATGGCATGATCAAATATTAACAGGCATGGAGAATAGAGAGGTTCAAAAGGCTTATAAACAAAATCTTCAAGTTGTAGAATGCAGATACAAAAGGCTAAAAGTTGTTTATTAACATACAGACAAAAAAATATTTTAGACATGTGTTAGATTTTAGCACTTGGAACCATCCTTCAAGCGCAACCAGCATTTGGATACAAAAAATTGAAGTGCTGGTCTATGTACAGGCAAAAAGATATTTACATGGCAAACGAATAGGATAAATATTGTTTCATACACATTAACAAAAAAGTAATTAACACTTTAAAAATCACTCCGAACCCCAAAAATGTAAAAAGTAATTAACACTATAAAATAATCCGGAACATACTAAAAAGTCAGTAGTTACTTTGAAAATCAACACCTCGGGCTCATTTGATTAGTGTGATGAAGACTGATGTTGTTGCACCATATATTTGGTTAACTTCAACTTGGATCGTTTTCTTATGCAAGATTCTTTGCTTAATTTAAATATATAATCAAACATCCCTCCCTATTTAAAAGCTTGTGGTACCAACTATTTCATTTGACTGAAAATTATGTGTTTGAATACTCACGGGCTGCTTGCTTGATAGCCATTTTTCTATCTCAGTGTTTTTCAAAATCAGTCATAATCATTTTGGTCCCAATTCTAAAACAGAAAAATGGCAAGAAAAGGTCTTTTTGCCAAAGCATAAGTACATACCAATTCGATAGTGAATTCTCGTGATTCCTCCTGGGACCTTGATGAGATTATTGCTGGTGATCTGAAGATAGAAAGCTTGAATTAGGGTGGACACACCCTAACTACAAATCCCATGGATCAAAAGTTTAACCCAAAAGAACACCCCCCCCCCCAAAATCTCTCTTATCAAATGAAAACTCCGAAAGCAATTCAATGGTTGATAACAACCCATTTAACATTGAACCCAAAAAATTTTAAAGCTTCTACCATTTAAAACTGAACAAAACACAATCCATACATTATAACAAAAACTGCGTGCATAAATTCACCAAAACCCACAGCACTGACCAACACCCACAAAATCAGCCAAAATATACAAAATAGGGTAAAAAAGCTAAATCTGGAGGAAAAAAAAGGGAGGGCTGCAAATAAAGTCGCATGATTGATTTCTAGCAAGAAAACGGGTGTTAATAATGGAGAATCGCGAACAAAATTCTAGAGAGGGCGAGAGGACTCACCGTGAATTCATAGCCACTTGAAGAATTTTCTTCAAATCGGGACAGAATCTGCGTCAGGTCGTCATCGTTGACAAAGAGCATAAGAAATCTTCTTCGATATTGAGACCTTACGAAATCTTGGCGTCGGGAACGTCGGTGACCGAGTGCTTCTCGACCTCGAACTGGAGCTGGTGACCACCTAGGAGTTCGATGTTCTATTTGACCAAGAATTTGGAGCTTCGGAGAGAAAGATATGCAGGGAAGTTAAAGTAGATGGAGTTCACGAAGGGTAGCTAAATCGGAGTTGGACGATAACGGCAAATGGAGAACGAAGGGTTTCTGGTAGAGAGAACAACAGAGAAGAAGGGAGAGAGAGCAAACGAAACCAAAACCACAGAAACCCAAAACAAACGAAGTCAAATTAAGAGTAAAAGAAAAAGCAACAGAAGGAAAAACAGTGAAAAGAAAGGGAAGATGCCAGAACACGCTGCGATAGCCGACAGCTGGAGAGGAAAGGCAAAAACGCCTTTTCACTGTAGATAAGCCAAAACAAAAGGCAGCCAGGACAGCATTTTAAGGAACCAGGATCCTGAGCAATTCCCTAAGAATCCTAGGGATTCCACAATCATGTCCGTTCATCTTATATCTTGCGATCAGAAATCATTTAAAATTTAAATTTTAAAATTCAAATATAAATAGTACCTAACGAAAACTGACCGCACGATATAAAATGAACGGACAAGATTGCGGGATCCCTAGGGAATTGCTCAGGAGAAGATCCTGGTTCCATTTTAAGGGCATTTTCACCATTTTACTGTTTATAAACAGTAACCAAGAGTTTGGATTTTAGTATATATAAATTGTTACTTTTATATTTTTGCCCATTTCATTTGTCTTTGCACTTATCTTGGTTCTAACCTCTTGAATTATGTATTGGCCCCCGCATAAATCCATAATCTCTTAAAAGAGATGACCAAAATTCAGAACTAGAGAATCATAAATAGATTCCACTAAAAAGTGTCTGAATAAAGCATTATGCTGCTTTTTTCTTTTCATAAGCAATGTTTGAATCCATAATGCTAAAGAAAGCTATCTTTTATCTCTCTCTCTTTCTTTTTTTTTTTTTTTTTGGCATTATATTTACAAATTTACAATGTCAAACAACAAACCGGTGGCTAGAAAAAGGAAAATCACTAATAAAAATCAACAACTAAACCTATACCCCAACCAAGCAAAAACCAAATGCACACTGATAATATCTTCAAGTATAAAAATAAGGAACCAAACAAATGCAACAAATGTAACATCATTTCAATTAGGGGTGGGCACTTGAAACCGAAAACCGAAACCGAAACACGAATCGAATCAAACCGCACCAAACTGTTTGGTTTTGCGGTTTTGAAACGGTTTCGGTTTCAAAACCGAACCGCGGCACACAAAACGGTTTGGTTTCGGTTTTGGGTTTTCAAAACCGCACCGAAACCGAAACCGCACCATATAATAAATAAATGTTATATTTTAAACTTTTTAATTTTTAATTAGTTCAACTAGGTTATAGATTTAGTTTTGCGGTTTTGGGTTTGCACTTCGACTCCTGAGTGAGTCCTGACTAGTCTGTGTCTGACTGCTTCTGCGCCGCCTCCTTGCATCTCCGCCTCTGCCTTGCCTTTTGGTCACCAGGCTGCTTCTGCTTCCATCTCTGCAATCTGCATCTCTGCGTCTGCCTCTGCGAGCGACTGCCTGCTTGCATCTCTGGAAGCGGTGGAAGTGATCGGTGACTGCCTGTTGGTTGCATTTGTGTTTTCAGTGGTGTCCAGACAAATCGTCTGTCTTTGGAAGTTCTGCAGAGGATGGTCTTTTAAACATTTGGGATTATGAGAAGGTATATGGCCTTCAGGATGGTCTTTTAAACATTTGGGATTATGAGAAGGTATGTCGGGCACTTTCTTTTCTTTTATTTTCCTTGTAGTTTGTTGTTCATGGTTTGCTTAACTTTATAACTGTATGCAGGGACAAGGTTGTTGATTTTCATTGGAATGCATCTGATCCATGGACTGTTGTCAGTGTGTCTGATGACTGTGATAGTACTGGCGGAGGGGGTACATTGCAGGTATCAGAATGTTTGTTCTTGTCGTTGTTGAAAGGGTTTCATTTTTCGAGTCATAAAATCATTTCTAAGAATATTTCATAAGAGTACATGTGAAAGCTGAGGGAGCTATAATGAGAAACCATATAAGATTGAATATTACCCATTATATAAGATTAAGAAAGATGTTGCTAGTTTAACATCGCGGAGAGTTTTTTCTACATGATGAATTATTTGTTGGTATTGACAAGTTTACTAACTCAATACCAAAATATGTGGGTGATAAGTTTACAAACTCTATCACACCTCTCACTTTCTCTCTCTAACAAACGAAGAAGGGATAGGAAATAACAAGCTTCCAACACACTTTCTTGATATATGAAATAAAAGGCAGTTTACAAACTGATGAAGAAAAAAAATAGAAACTTACAAGCTTATGAACCTGAGAGAATACAATCAGAAAAATGGGATTTGGATGGGATGATTCTAAAACCTTACGAGAGGCTTCCTTAAATACTACACAACCTACACCTTTACACCATCAATTGACAGCACACAGACAGCAGCATATCTGCTGTCTTTAACACATGGGAACGTGAAAAATGAAGAGACCAAAAGTGCTCCAGGTTGTCTACATTCGGCAAGTACATGGCAGCACCATTCCAGGTTGTAGTCACAACCTTTCAGCTAGCACATGGAGGAACTTTTAGCCTTTAAAGTTGCAGCATGTGTGGATACATCCTGTAAAGAAACTAACAGCCATTAGCAACCTTTTACAGCCTGTTTTGAGTTGAATTTCCAACACGCCCCCTCAAATCAAAACGCCTTCATGCCTAGCATTTCACGCAATAACCTGAATGGTTCAACTGGCAGTGGCTTAGTGAAGATGTCAGCCATTTGTTCCTTTGTGTGACAATAGACAAGTTCGATTGTCTTTTGCTTCACATGGTCCCTCAGAAAATGGAACCTGGTATCAATATGCTTGCTCCTTCCATGTTGGACTGGATTCCTAGCAAGCTTGATAGCTGAGATGTTATCCACATGAATCACAGTCGGTTCCACTTGTGGATGACACACTGACTTCAATAGATTTCTTAACCAAATTGCCTCACACACGGTTGAGGCTAAAGCAACGTACTCGGCTTCACACGATGACAAAGCAACAATTGATTGCTTCTTTGAAGTCCATGAGAAAGCTGTTGATCCTAGAAAAAACACATAGCCAATTGTGCTTTTCCTTTCATCTTGGTCACCTCCCCAATCACTATCTGAATAACCAAATAATTTTGCATCTTCACCAAAATTATAAAATAGACCATAGTTTAGAGTACCTCTTATGTACCTCAAAATTCTCTTGGCGGCCAGCCAATGAGACTCCCTTGGTGTTTCCATGTATCGACTCACGAGTCCAACACCATAAACTATATCAGGTCTTGTGATTGTAAGGTACCTTAGACTTCCAACCAAGCTTTTGTACACGGTTGAGTTTACAAACTCACATTCTCCTTCCTTGGACAGCTTCAATCCAGTTGCAACTGGAGTGTTGACAATATTGCACTTATCCATATTGAATTTCTCCAATATATCTCTCATGTACTTTTGTTGAGAGATGTAGATACCGTCACTTTCTTGCTTCACCTCTATGCCAAGAAAGTATGACATTAATCCATTGTCAGTCATCTCGAATTCACTGAACATGGATTTCTTGAACTCACAGAACATTGCTTCATTGTTTCCTGTAAACAACAAGTCATCTACATAGAGACAAATAATTAAGAACTCCCCTTTTGCACCATTCTTCATGTTAAACTGAATGCTCGTATGGACATTTCTGAAATCCATTTGGTGAAGGTAGTTGTCAATCCTTGAGTTCCAAGCTCGTGGTGCTTGCTTAAGGCCATACAAAGCCTTCTTCAAACGATACACCTTATCTTCTTTTCCTTGTACTTGAAAGCCTTCTGGTTGTTCCACGTACACTTCTTCCTCAAGTACTCCATTAAGGAAGGCTGACTTGACATCTAGTTGATAAATTTTCCATTTATGATGAGCGGCAAGAGAGATTAGTAATCTTACCGTGTCAAGTCTTGCAACTGGAGCATAGACTTCATCATAGTCCACTCCATACTTCTGTTTGTAGCCTTTGCTACAAGCCTTGATTTGTACCGATCCACACTCCCATCTGCAATGCGTTTGATCTTGTACACCCACTTGACACCAATTGCCTTCTGATTTGGTGGGAGCTTTGTCAACTCCCAAGTGTCATTCTTCTCGATGGCATGGATTTCTTCCTCCATGGCTATTCTCCAACGATCTTCTTCCACAGCTTCATTGAATGAGAGAGGCTCGTGGTCTGCATACAAGCAGAAAAAGTTGGTTTCTTCTTCTTCTTCTTGTCCATATATTTCGGTGAGACTTCTTAGCCTCACTGGAGTTGAGGAGCTGCTTTCTTCACTAGATGTAGGACCACTCCTTGCAATTCTGTGCACTGGAGTTGTTGTGATTGTTTGAGCAGGTTGTTGCTCAACAGGTGGTACAACTTCTGGTTCTTCAAAATCAGTGGAAACGATCTTCTCTTTACTGACTTCTTTGTTGTTCCACTTCCATGCCTCTTCCTCACTGAAGATGACATCTCTACTAACCACTAGTTTGCCAGTTAGTGGGTTGTAGAGCTTGTATGCCTTGGACTCTTCACAATAGCCCACAAACACACACTTTTCACCTTGATCATCGAGCTTTCTCCTCTTGGCTTCTGGAACCTGAGCATATGCAACACACCCAAAAACTCTTAGGTGTGTAACACTCGGCTTGTATCCACTCTAAGCTTCTTGTGGTGTCATCCTCTTGACACTCTTTGTTGGACATCGATTCAACAAATAAATCGAACAAGCTACAGCTTCTGCCCACAATTCTTTTGGCAAATTCTTCTCCTTAAGCATTGACCTTGTCATGTCAAGGATGGTTCGATTCTTTCTTTCGGCTATCCCATTTTGTTGTGGGGTATAGGCAGTAGTAAGTTGATGCCTAATTCCTTGCTCCTTGCAGTATGCTTGGAAAGCATTAGAGGTGTACTCTCCACCTCTATCTGATCTCACAGCCACAAGCTTGTGGTTGCTTTCAGCCTCTGTGAGTGCCTTGAACTCCTTGAAGATTTTTAGGGCAGCCGACTTCTCCTTGAGAAAATAAACCCAAGTCTTCCTACTGAAATCATCAATGAAAGTAATAAAATACCTATTACCTCCATAAGACATGGGATCCAATGGACCACATATATCTGTGTGCACCAAACTGCAGTGGTGCCTTTGCTCTCCATGTATCACCAACAGGGAACGATAGTCGTGCTTGCTTGCCAAGCACACAACCTTCACATACTTGGCGTGTGGCTTCAATTTGGGGTAGACACAAAACCATTCCTCCACTTGACAGCAACTTTAGGCCATTGAAATGAAGATGGCCAAATCGAAGATGCCATTTTTCCATGACTCATCTTCCATTATACCGATGTTGCAGCTTCCAATCTTTGTGTTCAAATTCAACGGGAACATCCGGTTCTTTGACATTCGAACACGTGCAATAAGCTTTCTCCTTGCATTCCTGAGAGTGAGAAGCATGTTCTCCATATGTATAATGTACCCTTTCTGGAGCAGTTGACCAATGCTCAGAATGTTGCTCTTCATACCTGGTATGTAGTAGGTATCGGAGATGTATTCTTCTCTACCATCCTTCTGGATGATCTTGATCTTCCCTTTGCCTTCAACTGGCAACTTTGAGGAGTCACCAAGACTTACAGATCCATAGGCCCCATCTTTGAGTTCGGCAAAAAAACTCCTTCTTTCCACACATGTGATTGCTTGCACCAGAGTCCAAATACCAAACATCTTGTTGGCTACTGGAATCATGGTGTGCTAGCAAGACTATAAGTTCTTCATCAGTATTTCCACTTGATTCTGCCATGTTGACATGCTCACCATTTTTATGTGAACATTCATTGGCATAATGTCCATATTGCTTACAGTTGTGACACTGGATATGCGCCTTTCCTCGAGTAGATCTCCACTCCTGAGACTGACCTCGATTTTGTGCATAGCCTCGACCTCTTCCTCGGGCTCGTCCTCGGCTACGGTTGGATGAACTCCCACGACGTGAGTTCCACTGCCCACGACCTCCATTTGGTTTGTCAATATTCAACTTTGACTCCAAAGCTTGCTCTAGCGTTGTGGGGCTTGCATTCTTCTGAATGCGTTGCTCGTGAACTAGGAGGGATCCTAGTAGCTCCTCTGCGCTCATCGCCTCCAAATCCTTGGATTCCTCAATGGCAGTCACCACATGCTCAAACTTAGATGTGAGTGACCGGAGTATCTTCTCCACAACTCGTACTTCATCGAGTCTCTCGCCATTTCTCCTCATTTGATTTACTATCACAATGAGCCTTGAGTGATAGTCGGAGATGCTTTCCCCTTCATTCATGTGAGCAGTTTCAAAATCTGCTTGAAGTGACTGTAACCTCACTTTCTTGACTCGATCTACTCCTTTGTAGATTGTACTGAGTGTGTCCCATACTTGCTTGCTCGTTGTTGCTTCTGCAACCTTCTCGAACGTTGAATCTTCTAATCCTTGATAGAGAAGATACAACGCCTTCTGGTCATTCTTTCGTAAATCCTTGAGAGTGTTCCTTTGATCTGCAGTATATGTGGCTTCTTGCTCGGTAGTGGGTACAACATACCCATTACTGACAACTTCCCATAGCTCTTGTGATCCAAACAATGCTTTGAATTGGATGCACCATCTTTCATAATTTTCTTTCTTCAATGTGGGAACTTGGAGCTGCACTAAGTTGGATGCCATAACTGCTGCACCTGCCAGAATGGTATTCTGGCTCTGATACCAACTGTTGGTATTGACAAGTTTACTAACTCAATACCAAAATATGTGGGTGATAAGTTTACAAACTCTATCACACCTCTCACTTTCTCTCTCTAACAAACGAAGAAGGGATAGGAAATAACAAGTTTCCACGAAACACACTTTCTTGATATATGAAATAAAAGGCAGTTTACAAACTGATGAAGAAAAAAAACAGAAACTTACAAGCTTATGAACCTGAGAGAATACAATCAGAAAAATGGGATTTGGATGGGATGATTCTAAAACCTTACGATAGGCTTCCTTAAATACTACACAACCTACACCTTTACACCATCAATTGACAGCACACAGATAGCAGCATATCTGCTGTCTTTAACACATGGGAACGTGAAAAATGAAGAGACCAAAAGTGCTCCAGGTTGTCTACATTCGGCAAGTACATGGCAGCACCATTCCAGGTTGTAGTCACAACCTTTCAGCTAGCACATGGAGGAACTTTTAGCCTTTAAAGTTGCAACATGTGTGGATACATCCTGTAAAGAAACTAACAGCCATTAGCAACCTTTTACAGCCTGTTTTGAGTTGAATTCCAACATTATTCTGCTGCTAACCCCTTTTTTGAATTTTAGCATTTCGATAAGAGGTGTTTAAAAGCATTATGGAGAAAATTTGTTAGGAAGCAAATTTCCTTTAAAAAGTTGAGCTTACACCAAATTTTACTGGTGTACCAATGATGTGTTTTACCCTTACGTCCCTCCCTTCCTCGGAGAAATGCTGGCCTTAGATTTTACTCTTGACTTGGAAATTTTGCTTTCTTTTCCGGCCTTAGATTTCTTTTCCAGCTTTTGTTTCAGTGCAGTTTTTTGCTGCAGGTTTGGTGTAGTTTTTGGTGTTGTCTTGCTGCTGTTTTGTGTTGTTTTTCTGTGTTTTCTATGCAGTTTGGCTGCATTTTTTTGGCAGTTTTGGAGCTGTTTTTTTGCTGCATTGTTGTTGCTGTTTTTTGTGCAATTTTGCTGCATATTCATTAATTAATATACAAGGAAAATAAGACCGTCTTATGCATAAATATGTGTATATTTTAAATTGTACATTTTTTTCTCAAAAACCAAACCGAAACCGTTTGAAACCGCACCGAACCGAACCAAACCAAACCAAACGGTTTGGTTTCATTTCGGTTTTGGCTTCAAAACCGCACCGCACCGTAAAAAGTTTCGGTTTCGGTTGTGGTTTCACTCGAAATCGCACCGAACCGCACCGCGCCCACCCCTAATTTCAATAGCAAAAAAGAAAACTGACATTTGGTTCAAAAGTATTAGAGGGAGTATAGGTCAAGGATTTAAATATCGGTAATATCGGTAGTCCGAAAACACAGAAATATCGACGGAAATATCGATATTGATAAAAATTACATGGAAACCACGGAAATTGTAAGAAAAACTTGAAAATTTTTATTGAAACTTTGCAGGATGTTTATTTAGTCAATTATCTATTAGTTTATCACAAAAAATTGGAAGGAAATGCATTGCATGATGGATTTAACATTATCAAGTTGATTATATAGCGAGCTGACAAACATTGTGAGTGTAGAAAATATGTAGTAATTAACGAAAGAAGTCTAAACACACACACATACATGCTATTATTCGTTGTCCATTGTCTGCAATTGTAAAAAGTGATTGAAAAATTCATGAGGTGAGTCAGATGGGGTCACTCAACCACAGAGGCACACACACACAGAGACATGCCATCACACACGCACACAACACACGCACACATATCTCACACGCATACGGCTCTCTATCTCTCTCATTCTCGATCCTTCTCTCTTCTTCTCTGAGTCTGAGGTGTCGGACCTCTCTTCTCCCCCTTCTCCATTCGACCCACACACACAGAGATCTCCCCCTTCTTGATCCTTCTCTCTTCTTCTCTGAGGCCTTCGATCCTTCTCTCTTCTTCTCTGAGGCCCTCGATCCTTCTCTCTTCTTCTCTGAGGCGTCTGACCTCTCTTCTCCCCCTTCTCCATTCGACCCACACACATAGATCTCCCCCTTCTCGATCCTTCTCTCTTCTTCTCTGAGGCCCTCGATCATTCTCTCTTCTTCTCTGAGGCCTGACCTCTCTTCTCCCCCTTCTCCATTCGACCCACACGCACACAGATCTCCCCATTCTCCCACTTTCTCGATCCTTCGCCCACTCTCTCGATCCTTCGCTGCTGTTGATCGTGGCTTTGGCGAAGTCGGACTTGGCTCAGTCGTCTCTGGTGGTGCGCCACTGAGCAAGGAGTTGGCCCAGTCATCGATTTTTCAGGTGAGATTCCATTGAAACCCTAAGCCCTAAACCGACATCACATATGTTGAATCGTTGATGCATGCGTGAAATTTGAAGCTTATATGTGAAATTGAAGTTAAAAATCGTGTTTTTGCAAGGTTTTTGGGACGAAATCGGCTCGGGAATAGGCACACCATCTCCGGCGTTCGATATCGGAGTCCGATTGCACCGTTCAACAAAATATCTCGATATTTCCAAAATATCGCGATATTATCGATATCGATAATATCACGATATTTTGACGAAAACCACACAGATACCTATTTAAATATCCATTCCCCGAAAAATCGATATTATCGACGATATTTCGTCGATAATATCGATATTTAAATCCATGGTGATGACACATAACATTTATATAACATTTATATGAAAAGCCCACGCAAGTGGGTGGTTTTCATAATTTAAACCATACCCTTTTAAGTAGTAGCTGTCCACCCTATTTCACATCACCCAAGGTAGACCTCAATCATCACCAAGTGAAATGTCATTTGTATAACCTATTCGTTTCTTCTTCTTTGTCTTTTTAGAACCTCAAAATTTGATTAGTCATCACCAGCTTTTTACCTTGGAAAGTGAAATGTCATTTGTATAACCTATTCGTTTCCAAGGATGAAAATATCGATATTATCGGCGATATTTCGCCGATAATATCGTTTTTTTGAGATAACGATATTTTTACATATATCCACTTAATTATCGTCCAAATATCGCAATATTATCGATAATATCGCGATATTTTCGATATCTTTTCGATATTTTCAAGATACTTTCGATATTTTCGCCAGGAGGATGCTCCGACGAGGAAGAAGAAGGAGCAGAGCTGGAAGAGGCGGAGGAGGGCTTACTGAACGGTGGAAAGGGAGTGGAGCCATCGGAATCCGCCGAGCGCGGACTCCTCTGGACCGAAGGTGCCGAGCCAGACCCGGGTCTTCTTCCACGGGTCACAGATCTCGGCAGCAAACCGGCCCCACGGTCTTTTCTGAACCCCTCGGTACCGGACCTCTTTTCCAATACAGGGTCTAGATCCGGTGGATTCGGCCGGCGGCGCTGCGTGTCTCGTAGCGGCTCCTCTTCCCCTCCTCATGGCCAAGAATCGGGCTTTTTAGAGTCTGATGGTCATAGAAAGAATTGGGTGTTTGAGAGATTTGGATTGGGAAAATTGAAAGATGGGTTTTGCAGAGACAGGAAGAGAAGAGAGAGAGAGAGAGGATATGGGGGAAGGTTTGCTTAGAGGGATGGGTGGGAGAAAAACTGGATGGCACCAGCACCACCTTCCCTTCTACACAAAAAATATATAAATAATAATGATTTTTTTGGTTTTTGGTTTATGGGATTATTTTTTTATTTTTTTTTTGGGGTTTCTGGCTGAGATAAAATTGGCTTTTTTTTTTTTTTTGAACTTTTTTCCGGGTCAAAGAAAAGAAATAGGGTATTTTGGTTGTTTCTTTTTCTTTGGTTTCTTTGTTCCTTCCTTTCTCGATTAGTGTAGCTTCTGTTGCCCCCACAAACCGACCAGACTCGATTTCTTTGCTTCTCCCTTTATCATTCTCGTCCTCCCATTTTATTTTTTTCAAGTTTCGTAAATTATGAATTTTCGTTTCTTCCCTTTTCGGCTTTTCCACCGCGTTCCAAATCTAAAATGTTTTATGTTATTTAGCAAAACGATTATTTTTTGTTCTTTGTATTTTTAAGTCAAAGTCAAACAGTGTCCTAAGTTTGACATCAAATTATCACGAATTCAATATCAATTTTGTTTTGTTGGTTTTTTTATGTGTTTAAGTTTACATATTACAATTAAATGATAATCATCTTTATTTGTAAGTTAATAAAATCTTAAATTGGATGCCAATTTATCACAAATTCTATACTAAATTATCAATGTTAGCACTTGTGTGGCATGACCAAAATCTACACTCCTACATTAATTACATATTCTCTACACTCACAATGTTTGTCAGCTCGCTATATAATCAACTTGATAATGTTAAATCCATCATGCAATGCATTTCCTTCCAATTTTTGTGATAAACTAATAGATAATTGACTAAATAAACATCCTGCAAAGTTTCAATAAATTTCCAAGTTTTTCTTACAATTTCCGTGGTTTCCATGTAATTTTTATCGATATCGATATTATCCCGATATTTCCATCGATATTTCCGTGTTTTCAGACTACCGATATTTCCGATATTACCGATATTTTCTTCCTTGGTCATCACCCACTTACAAGTTTGAGATATATATTATATATAAATGTTATATAAATTATAAATTAATTAGATAATATTGTGTTTTTTTTCCGAGGCAATCATATTATATATGTACATAAAACATTCACATATGTATGCTCTTCTATAAGAAATAACATATTATTCAATAATTATTTACATCTGATACAGTAATTTTAATTCATTCATATAATATATAAGCAATTTACCTAAATCCGCTTAGGCCGTCTAGGCGCTTGCCACCTAGACCCCACCTAGCCACCCGACTAGCGCCAAACGTTTAGAATCTTGATATAATTATGACTTAAAAAAAAAGCTTATTCATAAACAGAGTTTCATTTGTCTTAAAAGAGATATCAAAGTAAATAACTTGTACCTGTGTCTAATCGCGTAAATAGCCTCTGACGATATTACCTCTCT